TATATTATCTGTATACATTATTAAAATTCTAGTAGTCACCGAGGTCAATGCTTTTACAGTTACATTTACTGACAAAATTAATGTTAAAACAAAATTGAAAAAGATTATAGTGGTGATTGATTGAATAACAGAGTTCATGGGGAGGAGGAATGACCAAGCCAGCCAGTTGACACGTAGGGCAACATAAATAGAATACTTGTTTCGGAGAATGTTGTTCGTTGTAGATTGGTAGGCCTATTTTATTTCCATGGAAATTGATTAAGCCGTATGTCTTTTAAGTTTAACCATGTTATTAACTTCATCTTTTAATGCTGTTTTATAGCTTAAATAGCCACAGAACGGTATTACTTCGGGCTCTTTATATATATATCTGTCTCTTATACACATCTAGATGTGTATAAGAGACAGAAAGTAAAGTTTCCAGGACAATTACAGGACATTCCAGGTCAAGTTTTCCAAATTTCAAGGGCACATTAAAATATCGGCGATTTTACGATTGATTATAAAACATGGATGCTGTACTAATTTTAAATGCATGTTAGTTAAGTGTACATTAAGTTTTATCTAACTTTAATTTGGAGACTATGGATCTGTCCCTTTTTCTCGAGCTCATGGGAAATTCTGTTTTTCCCACAATTCTAAAAATTACTTGGTAAGCAAAGGAATTCCCACGTGTATGGGAAAGTACCGGTAAAGTAAGGCAGGGCTAGAATTCTCTCCTCAGCTATTGCTCTTATAATAAATTTGTATGCACAAATTGAGATGTATAATGAGCGGTTTGGTTCGCGAGTAAGTTTTGGAGGGGCGTGTGCGCCCCTCCCCCCACCCCCGCGCACCCCTAGATTCGCCACTGCTTATTTGGTGGTGTCGTCTAGTCCAGCTAGATCGTCACGGGAAAGCCGCTTGACGATCCTCAGTAGGCCTAGAGCACATTGCTGCAGTCATCTAGCCTGGTCGTAATTACTTAGAAAATCTTATAAGTAGCACCATTAAGAGATAGCGTATGTTTCTTGTGTTACCGTACGTGCTTATGAGACTTAAAATGAGTCAGAACTCACTCCTATGTTCCTTTTGGTGTAAAAGTTGAGTAATAAATGCATATCGATGTTGGTGGATCAACTGTGGCCTTCTGAATATTTTGTGCCTCTGTTTTAATGGGATGGGATTGAAAGAGACGATTTTTCAGAAAACCAACGATGCACATCTCTAATACAAATTAATTTCCATATCGGATTTAGCACGATCGCAATCAAATTGGTTAAATAGGCTAGCTAATAATGCAGTTGAATTGAACGTCAACTTTCCACGTATGGTGATTAACAGAATGTTGCCAAAATGATCTCGTTTAAAGAACAAATGTACATAAAAGAAATGCAGGACCAAGGGCACTTTTTCTCATACAACTGCCTATATACACATACATCGTATTTATTTTCTTTTATAAACTTGCGGCCATGTTTTTTTTTATAGCTGATATTTGTTACATGTGTTCTCAACAGGTGCTCAAAGGGTGACGAACCGTTTTAAATTAACAATAAGGCTAGATTTCACTAAGTTTTGAACTATACGAGCAATTAGAGCATTCAGTTACAGTCGACATTATGGAATGAAGGTGTTCTAATTTGTTTAATGAGAAATCTTTTGGGCCTTTATCAATCGCTGGAGAATCCCGCTGTTGAGTCCCACGCTAGTTTTTTTTTTCTTTTTTTAAAAAAAAACAAAAAAACGTAGGGCAGATAATGCATCTTGTATTGCTAAACATTGGTTAAGACGGCACTAATCTAATACCTTAAAACTCCCGGGCCTCAAAGACATTCTTGTGATGTCCTGGTCGTTTGCACTTTTATTGGAACTCACGTTAAGTTTTTAAATTTTTGATAATTGTATCTATTCCTGTGTTGGTTGCTGTGCTTTATTGTCTGTAATCTGTGCATTTTTCATGTTACTTGGTTTCATTTTAATTCATTTATTTCGTCCAAAGAACATTAAAACTGACAAACACAAAATAACAAACCGAAGAAAGTAAACTCAAATGGCCGAAGAGGATTGCCAAAACATAAAAAAATAAATTAGCATAAAATAGTCAAGTAAAATCTGATTACTGGAAATCCCAATTTTGAATGAACATTTTTCTAGGCTGTAGTACCTTAATACCTCATCTGATATAAATTTAAATCAATACATTTAATTGTATTTATTAGGCAGAAATGAGGATTATTTCTTTTACTCATGAATAGATTAGAGTGTTGGCTTTGATTACTCAGCTGCGATGTTCACAACTTGATTCGTCTGCAATTACCAAGTCAAAATTTAATTTTCGAGTCTTCAAATTCGATTCATGTCCATTAAAATGTAGTGCTAGCACGATCCCAAAATTAATTCATCGGTTGAGATAAGCTAAACGAAATTTCTCATTAAGATGTTTAATTAGGCTTAGGTGAAACAATATTGACAAAGGGTGATGTTTCTCACACAATGTAGCCTACATACACACGCAGTCATGCGTGACGTCACTTGATTAAAAAAATTGCATATAGTTTTAAAACCAAGAGTGACGAGTGATTGAGGACCAGATGACTTTTTAAAATAAAATCAAACCCTAACCCACTATCTCACATATTTTTAGTGTAGGCCTACCACCCGGGCGACAATACCCCATCTCCAACTTGTTTGACAAGTATCCCATCAAAGTAACGCATACTACAGATTACACTGTAAGCTAAACGTGTGTATTTTTTTTTTATTGGTGGGGCGGAGGGGAAGAGTGGAGTGAGATACCGATGTATATTTGGACTATAGGACAGCCTACGTGTTGATGATACCTGCTCAGGCTGTTTGTCAAAAGGAACAAAATCCAGAACAAAACTGCCTAAACATTGGACTGCTAATGTAAACATTTTTTCGCAGTTGTTTTCAAATGTACTGAGTATTCGGTACATTTCCACGTCAGGTAGGGCAAAATTACACCTATACATGTTTCTCCTGACGCAAATCCAGTTATTGTCTATTATTCCATCACGACAATAACAGTTACTATCAACATCCCATAAATAATACAATACAGTAGGCCTACCTGGACATCTAAAAATAGAACAAGTATCGACAAGCGTCAGATATTGAATTTAAGAGTAATTCCCTAACTGCGACAGTCTTCAACCCCAGGCAGTGATGGTAATGAATTTGAGTTTTATTTACGCTAGCCGAATCTTGATTAATATGCTAACGACACCACAGAGAGGTTAAATGCACTGGCAAAAGAGCAATGTGGAAATGGGCCGGATGGCTACCTGGCCTAGGGTCCCAACTAGTTGGAAAATGTCAGGGTGACAAATGGTCGGGTGACAATGAGCCAGGTGGCAATCATCCATCTGTCAATCACACATCTATTCTACCGTCCGTCCTTTTGTTCTTTCGCTCGTTCATTATTTAATTGATTAGGTAATTCATTCATTATTTCATTTACACATTCATAATTAAAATACATATATATATGATAGGCCTAATAGATTTTGTTTTTAAACAGAAGACAACCATAATTAATTTCATTGCTCGAAAGGTTATTCCACTTGAACAACATTGCTTTAAGCACCATGTTCCAGAGTGCTACAATGTTCCAAAGATAAATAGGGAAAGGAATCTACAAAGTGCCGATCGAAAACACTTCGTTTTACGTAAATGCATACTAAAAAAAATAGTGGTATTGTTGATAGAAGAAATTCTCATTTTATCATTCCCTCTGGTCTTGAGAATATTTGTAATAACTGGTTTGTCGCTAGTCTTTCATTTACACATAGGCCTACCTGTAGTTGCTGATTTATTATATATATAATTATTATAATATATGTATATATAATTATTATATATATATACAGTATATATAT